CCGAGCACCGGCACAACCCCCAGCCCCGGGGACGCGCAGGGTTTGCCCGGGGGGACGGTGCCCGGAGCGTGCCCCAGCTTGGGGGCCACCGGAGCCCCACACCCGCCCCAACCCTTTGTGCGGCGGCCTGGGGGGGGCCCCCGAACCCTTTCTTCCTCCTCCTCCTGCTGCTGCCCGGCACGGCCATTGTTCAAGTCCTACCTCAGCGGCGCGGTGGCCTCGCTCAGCACCCCGCTACAGCCGGGGGGGTCCCCTGGGCGCCATCCCCATCCCCATCCCCATCAGCGCCGCAGCCCGGCCCCCTCTCCTCCGCCAGCCCCCGGCTGGCACCAAACCCAGCGCCGGCGAGGCTGCTGCTCCCACACATGACCAGCATGGCAATATCCCTCCCCCCTTCCCCCATCAACCCCCTCCCCGCCACAGCCAAGCCCCTGCGCCAAGTTTGCCGGTTGCCCGGTGGGGTGGGGAAGGCGCCCACCCGGCTGTGCCCACCCGGCACCCGGCACCGCTCGGCCTCCAGCCAGGTCGGCGCAGACGGGGACCCCCAGCACAGGGATGCCCCCCCCCCCCCGGCACCCATCACCCCCATGGGTAGCTGCGGTGGCACCAAAGGGGAGCGGGAGCGTTCGGCTGCGGGCATCATCCCCGCTGGTGCCCACTGGCTCTCTGGCACCGGGGACCACCCTGCACTGTGCCCCCCGAGCAGCACCCGTGCCCAGCCACAGCACGGGCATGGCACGGCGAGGCGAGGGGTGGTGGCCCTGCCGCCCACCCCGCTGCCGCAGTGCCCCACGGCGCCTGCGTCCCCCCGCACCGCAGCCTCCCCACCTGCCACATATGTGCCAGCCAGCTCTTGGCGTCGGCGATGCTCGAGCGGCAGCTTGCCGATGGCCGAGGCTGCCGAGCCACCCCGCCGAGGCCGCGGCCGTATGCCATGCAGCCTGGGGACGAAGGACATGCAGGCAGGATCTGGCCTGAGCCAGCCTGGGGGTACCAGGAGGTGATGGAGCCGAACAAACACGTTGCCACGGCAACAGCATCCTGGTGCGGGGAGCAGCCAGCACCCTGTGCCCACTGGTGGGTGCAAACCCACCGCCTCGCCTGCTCCCGCGGGTCGGGGTGTTCCTCGGAAGTGGCGAAACAGCTGGGGACTTCCTGGTGACAGCAGTGACACCCAGCCGGGGGGCCAAGGGGATGCAGGGTGCCTGCTCCTGCCGGGACCCACTCGCTGGGGTGCTCCACATGCAGGCAAGGAGGTGGCACCCCCCCAATGCTCACCTGGGCACGCCACCGCTCCGGGGGGACACTGGCCCCCCTGCACCCCCACCCCGGTCCCCGCCAGCCCCTGGCAGTGGGACAGATCCAGAACCAAGTGATGCAGCAGCTGCCTGGAGCCACCCAGGGTGGCCCGCCACCACAGGCTGCGTGCAGGCAGGATGTGGTGCTTGCACCCCTTCCCCCCAGCTCCCCGGGGTGCTCCTGGGGTGCAGCACCCACACAGGGGCTTGGCTGTCACCCACCACCTCGTGCAGCACCGAGCACACACAAAGAGCCGGAGAGAGCAGCGGATGGGGTCGTGGCGTGCGTGGCTGCACTGGGTGCTGCACCCACAACCACCTCCCCTGTGGGGCTAGAGCCCCCCCCGCCGTGTCCCTGCCCTCGCTGCCGAAAAGACCCATTGGCGATGGCCGGCAGCCGGGCGGCCACGTGGAAGCTCTTCGGCATCACCACACAGCTCCCGGGCTAATGGCTCCTGCAGCCAGACCTGTTCGAGGACTCATTAAAGATGCTCTTATTTTCCAGGCAGGGACGAGTAATCCCGGGTCCGTGGTCTCCTCCATGGATTTAATTACTGATGCGGGGCTAATTGGCCAGTTCCCTGAGGAAGCCTGTAATAAGGCTCCGAGGGTGGAGGGTGCTGGGAGAGGATGAGCTGGGAGAGGAGCTCCCAGCCTGGCCACTTGCCGTCGCGCCGAACTGGCCATCGGATGGGGAGAGCGTGGCTCCGGATCGGGTGGGTGAGAGGGAGCTGACCCCTCCAGCAAAGGGATGGAGGATTTGGGGGATGCAGAGGGAGAGATGCCCATCAGGCTGGTGAGGAGCTCACCACAGCTCTACCTGCCTGGCCGAGTGTGACCCAGAAATGCCAGCACCTCTCCCAGCACCAAACGCAACCCAAGGGGACAGCAGTGACAATCCCCATCCGCGGCCGGACCCTGAACCATCCTGCCTGGCTGGCTGTGACATGGGTGGGAGCCACGGCACGGGACTGGGGGCCACTGCGTGCCGGCACTGAGCAGAAGCAGAAGTGAGCCAGCGGGCGAAACCCCGTGCCTGCCCGCAGGGACCAGGGACCGAGGGGCTCACCCTGCCCTGACGGCAGCACCCCCCTGCCCACACGCTCCCCTACCCACTGCCACCGCGGCCATCCCTACCTGGGCGAGCTGGCCAGAGCTGGGGCTGCTCCCGCCGCCGAGAGCTGGTCACCGGGGCCAAATGGCTCCTGGGGTGCAAGGCGAGGAGGACGGCTGCAGCCCACGGCTCCTCCTCCGCTGCTCCTCCTCCTCCTCCTCCTCTTCGCCCGGGGCCCTGTGTGGGCGACCCGGGTGTTCGCTCGGCATGGAAGTGAAACACGGCAGTCGCCGGCTTGCTTGGCGCTTCCTCCCACGGGGTGTGGGACCGAGGGTGCCATGGCTGCCCCACAGCCACCCATGGGTGCCACCAGCTGAGGGCCGTGGTGGCCTCCCAGGAAAGGAAACGGCGCGTCCCCACCTCTTCCTGGCAGACAAACCGCTGTGCCTGAGCAGCGCCTGCCAGTCCCAAGCCATCCGCAGGGCAACCGGTGCCCACACGCTGCCCGCCGGCTCGCGCCCTGCTCCGCAGCCTGGGCACGCCACGCTCGGTAGCCCCGCCGTCACCCTGGCTCATCCCCGAGCGCCATCCCCCCGTGTCCCCATCACCCCGCCTCGGCCTTTAGCACCATCCCCTCCACCCCGGCCAGATGCCGCGGGCAGCGACGGGTCGGACGGGCAGCTGGGCTGGCTGGGCAGCGCGGCCACAGGCATTGCTGGGGGATGATTCACCCCAGCCCGCAGCAGATGTATGGATGCCTTTGCCGGCGTCAGTACTTAGAGCCCGGCGACGGCGGCTCTCATGACACCCTAGCGAGACGGGCAATGAGCCCCAAGCAACTAAACAGGGAGCACCAGCAGTGGCGGCCGTCTCCCGGCCACCCCGGCGCCCTCCAGCCTTCCTCGGAGCAGCCGCCGGGAAGGGGGACGCTGGGGGTCCCCCGCCCTGTGCTTAGGGATGGGCACGGGCTCGGCGGTGCCCATGCCGGCGCGGTGGGAGCCAAAGGCACGGCTGTGCCGGGGAGCCCCGCGTCCTTCCCGCCGGCACGAGGCACGCGCTGAGCACGCCCGAGCGCATCTTGGCCCCCCGCCACCTCCTCCGCCCCCACGGGAAGGGAGGAACAGGATCCATCCCCGTGCCAAGGCAAGAGGGGATGAGAGGGGAAGAAAGTGCTGGATGTGGGACAAGATCGCAGCGATAGCCGGCACGCGCAGGGCCCCGGCGCTCGGCGCTGCCGCCGATGGGGCACATGTGTCCCGACCTGTCTCCCCACGCCGAGGAAAACAATTAGTGCCGGGGCGGCATGGGAAGCTCGCCAGGCACCCCGGGGCCGGGCGGGCCGGGAGTGCTGCCAGCGCCGCGCTCGGCTTCGCGCTGTACAGCCCCCCCTCCGCTACACGCCACGCACCGCGCCGTGCCGGGCGGCATAAAACGCGCCCCGTGGCCGCCGGCACCGGTGGGGAGTAGCGAGCCGGCGCAGCTCGTTCTGTCCCCAGCATCACCATCACCCTGCATCAATGCTCTCCCCGGCATCGGCAGCGCCGGGGCGGCTGAAGGCAGCCGGGGCTCACCGGGGAGGTTTGGCAACACCGCACCCAGCAAGGGGGTCCCGGTGGGAAGAGAGGAGAAGGGACAGGAGCGAGTCCTACCGTGCTCCGGCGTCACCGCAGCCCAGCCGCCGTCTGCAGCCTCGCCAGGAACCGCTGCCACCGTGCAGGGTCCCCACGGCCCCACCAGACCGGCGCTGGGGTTGTTTGCCCCGACTCCACCGGTCGGTGCCAGGGTCCCCAGGGCCGGCACCAGCACCAGCCCCCCGAGGAAGGCAGGCTGGGAGCTCACTTGCACCGTCTGCGGCTGGGACACCAGCTTGAAGGGAGCAGCTTGGGGGGCTGGCGGCGGCAGCCCCTCAGCCCTCCCCGGGGAAGGGGCGGCGGGGGCCGGGGCTGCCTCCCCCTGGCCCCGGGGCAGCGGTGGGGGCCGGTGGGCCAGGCCAGGGCTGGCACCGAGGCTGACCCTCAGCTGCGGCCGGGGCAGTGCGCGGGGGGCAGCGTCCCACCCCCCCGGCAGCCGCCCCTCCGGCCCCTCGGGGAGCGTGGGCAGCCCCAGGGCTGCCTCGGTGCCATCGTATGGGGCTGGGGAGGAGGAGGAGGAGGAAGGCTGGCGAGCTCGAGGCTGGGTTGCAGGGCTCCGGGTGCCCCATGGCGAGGGGTCCGGCGGGGGGGTCCCCATCCCCGGCTCCTCGGCAATGTGCAGGTCCAGCGCCGGCAGTGAGCCGTGGCTGGCGGCGGCCCCATGGAGGGGATGCTCCACCTCCGCCGGGAAGACGCTGCTGTGGGACGGGATCTTCTTCAGGCCGGGGCTGGTGGCCGGGGGGGTGCCCGGTGGCTGGGGGGGCCCGGTGGGCGCAGGGCTCTCCAGGCTGGAGGATGAGCTGCGGAGGCTCTCGCCGTCGCTGCCGGGCCCCGCAGCGAAGCCCTGGTGGGTCTGGAAGGAGGCAACGCGGGCGATGCCAGCGCCAGCAGTGCCGTTGGCTCGGCCGGCAGAGAGGCTGGTGCCGAGCCGGCTGCGCAGCACGGGGCTGGGAGCCGGGCTGGGGCTGGTGGCGGTGCCCGAGCAGGGTGGGTGGCTGGGCTGCAGTGGCCGGTGCCCGTCGCCGGTGCCCAAGGGCAGCAGGGACACTGGTGGGGAGCCGGGCGCCTCGTCCCCATCCTCCACCTCAAATGACTTCTTGAGCGCTGGGGACAGAGAAAGAGAGAGATGATGGTATGAGAGTGGCACCCAATGGCACCCGTGGCCGGTCACCTGCCAGGCTCTGCCCCCTCCCCAGCCGACCCCGTGGCCAGCCCCATGCATGGACCCCCAGCCGTGCCGTGCTGTGCCAGCACCTGGAGGTGCCCCCCACACAGCCAGGGGGGCAAAGAGCCGTTTGTGAACCCATCCCACATGGGAAACCAGCTCGGCACTGGCGGCCTCCTGGCCCTGACGCATTGTTCACTGCGGTTTTTATCATTGTTCCCCGCGGTTTATCTGCACCCGGCCAGCCGGTGCCGCCGGCTCCCTGTGCAGCACACTGCCCGCTTTATTCCCCCTGTAAGGGATCCAGCCCCGAGTAACCGGATCCCTGCCTGACCCTCTTCTCCCCCTGCATCCATCCAAACAGCCATGCTGGGAAGGATTCCTGCCCCCTTAACAGGGCATTAACCCTGAAGCCTACTGATGCTGAGGCAGGCCAGAGCTATCGCTACACACGGCAGTAACATCACAGTCCATGCTGGAGGCTGCAGCCAGGCCTCCCATGCGGCTTCACAGCAGTGACAGCAACCAGGAGCCCATGCCGCAGCCCCGGGGTTGCTGGTGGTGCGAATGGCCCCCCCCCCCCGGACTGCCCGCCACCCCGTGGGTATCACAGTGCCTGGCTCTGGTGCAAAGCCTCCTGGGGGAGCAGCCACCGGGCGCTTGGCAGCAGTGGGGGCCCTTCTCCCTCTGGGTACCTTGGCCCGGCCGGGCACTGCCGTGGCAGGTCTGAGCAGCTGGGACCCCCGCGAAGCCCCCGCGGGAAGGAAGTGCCTTTGCCATGCAGCCGCCCCCTCCCTCTCTCCCTCCCTCCTGCCGTGGTGCGAGGCCCCCCCAGAAGCTGTGCTCCTGCCAGCTCTGCCAAAGCGGCACCGTTTGGTGCCGCCAGCTGATTTCCCGGCCCCCGGAGTGTGCGGGGGGCCCAGGCCCCCACCGGGCAGCCTTCCTCACCCCCGCTGCCAAGCGGCGGGTGGCTG